AGGTTTCACCATGTTGGCCAGGCCAGTCTCAAACTCCTGACCTCAGGTGATCTACCCGCCTTGGCCTCCCAAAGTGCTGAGATTACAGGTGTGAGTCACCATGCCTGGCCTATTTTTTAAGTATTAATATAAGTATATGGCAGTGGAGAAAACAATGAGTAGTAGTAGAGTGATGCCACTGCATTGACTCCTGAAAAAGCACCAGCAATTTTACTTACCATTGGTGTAAATTTCAAAATAGCGACAAAGGCAAACATCTTAGAATTATTATAAAAATTGTTTTGATTTTATAAATGCTTGAAAGGATCTTGGGACTGACAAGGGTCCACAAACCTCATTTTGAGAATCACTATGTCTTAATGTCTACATAGAATAGTGTCAAAGATAATGTTAAACCAAAAGACAAAGCAAAACTTTATGAGTAACCTATCATCAAAAATTTATAATTAAGTTGAATAACATGAAATTGTGATATTTGTAGGCAAGTTTGAATATTGGCAATTTCATATTGCTGAACCTATAGGATAAAATGTGTGTGTTTGTTTTGGGCTTGGCACAGTAGCTCACACCTGTAATCCTGGCACTTTGGGAGGCCAAGGTGGGAAGATCACTTGAGGCTAGGAGTTTGACACCAGCCTGGGCAACATGGAAAAACCCTGTCTTTACTAAAAATGCAAAAATTAGCCGGACATGGTGGCGCACACCTGTAATCCCAGCGACTCAAGTGACTAAGGCATGAGAATTGCTTGTACCTGGGAGGTAGAGGTTGCAGTGAGCCAAGGTCCTGCCACTGCACTCCAGCCTGGGAGACAGAGTGAAACTCTGCCTAAAAAAAAAAAGTTTGTGTATGTATGTGTAATGAATCATGTCAAATAAACCATATAGATCTAAGGGAATGCAAAATTAGTACACAACCAACATAAAATGCAGAGAGCTCTAAGCTGAGAGAAGACAGGTATTTAGATTTTTAAACAGTTGCAAGAGACAGAACTCTTTCCAAGTAAGGGGAATGGTGTAAGTAAAAGTTCAGAAATAGTTATGAATGCAAATAAAGGATATTTATGATGTACATGAGGCATGAAGTCCTGTTTCTGAGGCTTGAAAGATAAAGAGAAAATTATGCTGGGAAAGGAACAGACAATTTGAAAGAGTTCCTTAATTGCCAGGCTGACAAAGTTAACTTTAATGCAGAAAAACAAAGCCATAGAAGGTTATCTATTCATTCATTTAACACACATGTACTAAGAGATTCCCATGTACCAAACACGGTGCTAGGCACTGAAAGAATCAAAGAATTTACTGTTTAACCACTGAACTCAAAGTTAGGCCACTGAACCAACTTTGTGGTTCAATTACATAGTAGTAACAATACTAATCGGCTGATCAGAACACATTATTGAATGTGTGTTTAATGTGTTATCAGAATGCAGATGAGCAGTCAATTAATTCAGCTTGGCGGCAGGGAGAAAAGATTGCCTGTTAAGAGATGACTCGTGCTATTGAATGAGAGGAGTAATAGAAATTGGCCAGATAGATGTGGGAGAGTCATAAACTGGGTTGGGGACATTGCACTGGCAAAGGCACTGTGATTTGGAAAAACTTGGCACAGTTTGGAAATAGAGAGTGGTTCATTATGGTGAGAAGGTAGAAGAAAAGAACTATGTGGTTGGAGATAAGACTGGTAACCTCAACTGGATTCAGGTAGCAATGATCCCTATATTCTGTACTTTGGTAATTCACTGAGACTTCTTTTTGTGACGCTATCCTAGCAAATCTGAGGATGGTCTGGAAGTGGAGATACTGCAGGCCTGGAAAACAGCAGTTACAAAAGTGGACATATCCAAGCTGGAGATGCTGAGGACTAGACTCTCTGCAGGGCAACAGGCATAAAAAAAGAGCAATTTGTAAACTTTTGGCAGAAGAATTTGTAAAAATGTGTTAAACAGTAGTGCAAAAAAAAAAAAAAAAGAGAGAGAGACATTTGAGAAAAAGGTCTTGGGGAAAGGGAATGAGTTTGTTTTGGGGATATGTTGAGTTTCCTGTTGGAAACTCTGAAGAAAATTCAGGACTAGAACATACACTTGGGAGTCATTCATGTACAGGTGATTGTTGAAGAAATGGGAGTAAATGATCAGCAATGTAGAAAGCATATGGAGTAGAAGAAGGAGTGCCAAAGCACGTGAATCCTGTTCTGGCAGGTGTTAGAAGAAAATGAATATTAAGTGGGAAAGAATGAAGTAAGAGGTCAAGTGTTTCTCCAAACAGGAAATGACGAGGCCTAGATTCAGGAGGTAGGTCATGGAGGTGAAGTGAAAAGGGCACATCTGACAGACCATTTGGTAGAAAGAATCTTTGAGAACTTGGTTACCAGAATTGAAAGGAAAAAATGAGAGAACATTTGTGTTGCTACAGCTAGATTTAAAAAAAACAGTAGGTCTTCCTATGCTATTTTTTCCTGGTTGAATGTCTTGCTTTTTATATTTCTTTCAAGACTTCTGAAGTACCTAGTGGTCTAGAACCCAACAAAATCCCCCTGAAAGCTGGACAGTTTAGGGCAACATGTATAGCTCAGCAATGTTTCTGTCCCAAGCTTCAGAGAGGATAATGGGAACCTCTTCTAGTTTGGCTTCTGGGTGTCCATTTCTAGGGAGCATGGTAATGTTAGACTTGGTCTGAAAAGGAGTAGGCATAAGGATGCGGAGAGTAGAGAAGACTGTGTCTCTCTTTGGTGAGCACAAACAAGGAGATAAATTTGCTGGGAAGCTATATCCTCACTTCACACAGCCCCCCAACTCTTGCACTCATGCTTCCATTCTTACCCTCACTTTGAAAGCCCTTCATCACCATTTCCATCAATGAGACATGTCTGTGTACTCTTAAATTAATAAGGAGATATAGATACACAAATGTATATGTTTTTATACAAATAAGGCATATTGAACAAATTGTTCTCTTATTTTTTCTACTTAACAATATAACATAATGATTTTTCTATATGACTACATGAAGATCCACCTTGCTCTTTTCAACCACTTCCTAATATTCCAGAATAATATGGGTTCCCATGAATTATTTGATTAAAACCACAATGATGAATATTTATCTTCTATTTTATGAAAATGTAAAAGTTATTGCAATAAGCATATTTGTTTATTTATCTTTGTGTAGTTATACTGATATTTCTATAAGTATAAAAGTCTGATTAAATGTAATTATTATTTAAATTTTTATGTTTAAATTTTATCACATATTTCAAATTTCCTTCCAAAGAGGCTATGCTAATTTATATGCCCATCAATAGTATATGACAGGGCTTATTTTGCTACATTTTCAAACTTTTAAATCTTTCTCAAATTGATAGGTTAAAAATATCTAATTTTAATTTGCATTTCCTTTAGGAAGCTAAGCATCTTTTTATATTCTTATAATCCATTTTCTTTTTATGTAAATTGGCTGCTTAATTCCTTTGCCTACATTTCTTTTAGAATTTGTAAGAGTTCTTTATTGATTAGCAACATTAACTCCTTGCTATATGTATTGCAAATATTTTTCCCACTTTATGACATATTTTTATTTTCTTTGGGTATTTTCTTCTGAGGAGATTTTTTAAAAGAAATTTATATACTCATATTTATTAATATTTTCCTTTATCATTTTAATGAAATAGTTTGGAAAGATGTGTCCTACTGTAACATGGAAAATAGATTGAACCAGGGAAGGAAAAAGTCTGATTGGGAGACTATACAGAAATGATGGTGGCCTGAATTAGGACAGTGGCAGTGGGTATAGATGGAAATGAACATGTTTGTGAAATAGGCAGTAGAACTTGCAGACTGGTTGGGTAAGAGAGGGAAGAGATATATTCAGGGATGATACACAGGTTTCTGGTTTGGACAACAGTGTAGATTGGTTCACTAAGATGGGAGCTCCTGAGAAAGAATAAATTTGGCTTGGGGAATAGAGTAGACTATTTGATTTATTTATAATTACCCTATTTAGGCTACATAGAACTTCATTTTACAGGTGACCATTATCAGTTTGTTCTTGCTTTCTTATCACTCAATCTACCAACATCAATTTTTATTTGAGGTTGACCTTTCTCAATCCAACAGGACATTTTCATTCTTTTTCACAGATAAATAATTAAGTGAAACATCTCAGGAATTTTATTTAATATTTCTTAAAGATTACAGCTGCACCCATATGTCAATAACATTATGAAAGATTACATAATATTTTATTTATTTATTTATAATTAATTTTTTTGAAACAGACTGTCACTCCATCATCCAGGCTCTGGAGTGCAATGATGTAATATTGGCTCACTGTAGTCTTGACCTGTGGGGCTTAAATTTTCCTACCACCACAGCCTCCCAAGTAGCTGTGACTATAGGCATGCACCACCAGGCCCGTCTAATTCTGAAAATGTTTTGTAGAGATGAGGGTCACACTATTTTGCCCAGTCTGGTCTCAAACTCCTGGGCTCAAACCATCCTCCCACCTCAGCTTCTAAAGTCCTGGGATTACAGATGTGAGCCACTGCATCTGGCCACATGCTATTTTAAAACTGAATTATGCTATTATCAAATATTCTACCCTGTATTATTTTCAGATGAGAGAAGAAAAGTGGACCATGATCAAAACAAAAATATAACATTTTAATTAACTTGAAATGGAAGCTTGGATTTTTGGTGTTTTGATTTTTGTACTAAAAATGTCACTGAATTTTTGCTGTTGCTTTTCTTTGCAAAATTGCCACTTGCAACTCCTGTTACTTTAGCTGAGTGCCACATCATACCGACTTAATGCTACTGAGTTGTCTTCACTGTCATTGAAATCACGTTAAAGGCAGCTGTAGTACTAATGTGAAGTACAAATACCTCTTCATTCAAGAAAAATCACAATAAGCAGCAGAGACCAAATTAACTCTGCCTTTCTTGTTCTATATGGTATTTCTGTAAATAGGAAATACACTGATGTTTGACATATTCTGACTTCAGAAACTTACCATCTTAAATAAGGGACCTCCAGAACTATTTTTGGGAAGACTTTTAAACCTGGACAACTCCCTAATGTTATGAAGACTGACGGTGCTTCTGAACTGTAACAAGGAGATTTTACATAAGACTGTTCTTACTGGAACCTGTTTTATGTAAGAACATACTTAAAAAGCTAATTTCTTTTCTCCTTTTTGCACTGCAATCCACAAAGTGTGACTAATAATAGATTTAAATTTGCTAAGTGCATTCACTCCTTTGTGCCATCATAAAGAGAATCTATTACTGTAAAATTGAGGCTTAGTTCCAAATTGCACCATTATGAAGTTTTCTTCCAGCAATGTTTTGTCTCTAATACACTTCCCTCATTGTAATTCTATTGCAAACCTGATGTCTAGCATCAAGTCTCACAATAATTATTTTAAATTGCTACTAGGAACAGTAGTCCTGGTGGGATATATTACTACCATTCTAACAAGATGAATTTCAATGCACTTGTAACCATATTATAGTATATTATGAAAGAAAGAAAATCTTTGAGTTTTATATCTATGGACATGCATGTATCAAAAAAAATAATTCTTATAAACTTCAAAATACTTTATATTTAACTTCTACTTAAACTAATTATAAGTCACAAGGACAAATTAGGATATCCAGCCACATGGCCCATTAATAGCATGCTGAGTGACTTGAAATGAATAAACAATTATAAATATAAAAATATTAGCAATGCTACTGCTTTGAATAATTACACATAGTAATATATTTATATGATAGATTTTAAAGATAATATAAATTATATTACCACAGGAGAAAGGCACCAGAAAACTATTCAAAATGAAGCTGACATAAAACTTTATTCTTAATTTAGTCTTTCCTAAGGCTTCAGGTCATATAAATAAATGAACTACCCCAAAAAGAATGTTGAAAAATAATTTATTGTATAATAGAAACTACAAAAAAGTCATTCTCAGGAGTCTAAAACATTGAGCCTCCAGTTGCTAATAGACTAAAGAGGAAAATCCTGCTAGGAATCAACATGGAGAGAACAGGAAAGCATGTTAAGCCTCCCTGAAACCTAGGCAATTTGTTTAACAGTAGTGTTACACAATAAACTGTGTGTTTCATGAGTTGTTTTATATTCTTACTGAGGGCATTCTAAGATTCACCTTACTAATAAGTTGCCTACAGGCTTACAAACAAACTGGGAAGATGATCACTTTTCAATTCACTGAAAGTGTGAATCTTGAATTTGGTGCGTAACAAAATTACTCTAAAGAAATAGTAGAGCCAAGCTTCCCTATTACAGATAAAATGATTATAAAATGATGATCTCAGATCAAAAGCTATTTCAGTCTTAATAATTAAATAAGTTGGCACACAGAATTTAGAAGAAACAAGTATGAGTTCCATATCTGCAGGAATTCTCTTAAAAATGTTCATATAACACTCCAAATGAAAAATCTCTTAACTACCTAGCAAAATTGAAAGTCACTCCCTGGAGTGGACCAAGTGAAGAAAAGTTAATCTGCATGCTTTATAAAAAGGGGCAGTTGAATTTACATGAACAATTCAGCATTTTACCTTCAATAATAATTGAATGAACTATATTACATATCAACCAGCATAGGGCTACCAACTGAGTCATGAGCGATTACCCCAAAATGGCAGAGCAACCTTCTATTTATAATAAAGTGGCTCATTTTTATGCAATAACATCCATTCTGTAGCATTTATAGCACATAGAACAATCTGGAATTATATTATCCTGTTTAATCATTACCCTTCAGAAACTGAGAAAGTTGTTTTTTTTTTACCATTAGGTCATCTCTAAAACTTTTGGTATTGCTTTGTAGCTTAGTTGCAATCACTTCTCAGTGATCTGGACCTGAAATCATATACTTTTGTTTCAAAACATCAGTATTTGTTAGCATAAAGAGTTATTTATTTTGTGTGTCACTAAAATAAATTGCATTTACTTCTATATTTATAGTTACTCCTTTATATATGTGTATATTATTTTAAGTATAGTATTGATGTTGCTGGGGAAAAAATAGAACCCAAGGCAAAAATAACCTTTGTTAACAATGTTTTTGGACATAGATCTATTCTCCAAGTGGCCAGAGGTAATTGTATTATTCCATTGGCAAATGCCTCCATAGAACTAAGTATAAGATTTCACCTCCCACTTTCAGGATAGGGGAAAATAAGTCTAAGTTAATAGAAAAATGATTAGAAACAGGTGTCTTAGCTCTCAGTTTTGTTAAAAAAACAAAACAAAACTATCCTAAACCTTTTATAAAATTCCACCAGTACCCTTCTCTTTCCTCTTTTGAATTAAAAGCTTTTTGTGACATCCAAATAGAAACAATTGTCCAGAAGAGCATATTAAATTGATGTTTTCCCAAGAGCGTGACTGAAAAAATATGCCGACCCTGTGTTATCAATGTCTTTTGAAATTACTACTGATTTTTAGAGGACAATAAAGAAAGCTGTATTCCTTTTAACATCATACATATGCTCCATACATATTTCTTTTTATATTTAAAAAACCCACATTTGTTTGTATTTATGTAGATTCCTTAAATTTCTTGACAAGAAAATTTTGAACTAATTTTCTAAATGCTATGTTGTATACTCACCAGCAATTCATTTCATGATTGTAATTGTATTCTCCCAGTCTTTAGGTAAAATTAATTGATGAAAAAACTTACTTATATAATACTGTATATTGAAGATCTTCAGAAGAGAACCACATACCAACTAGCCAAAAGCCAAAAATCTTAAGAGACTGAGAATACCACATCCTTTCAGATTTCCTAACCTTGTATGATTGTAAGTCACTTTAGTCTCTTGTTACACTACAGACTCTCAGGGCCATTCTCTAGCAATTCTGTTTGTATAGACCTGGGATATGTAAGTATCTATAATCTAAAAAATCATCTTAGATGTGTTGAGAAACACTTGACTAACCTCAAATCCAATTTTTTTTTGCATTTAAGAAATTTAAGGCAATTGGGAGTAAAATAAAACACATTTCTATGATTTTTGGCAAGACTAACTTGCTTTTGAGAACTAAGTAAGATGACGGCACGAATCTAAACAGAACTCAATTCTCTAACATCTGATTACCAGTGTATGTGTCTGTATGTGTGTTTGGAGTATTTTCGTTCAAATAGGCTTTCCTTTTTAAAATATATGTTAAGCATTGTCTGTGTCTGAAGTGATGTGTTTGATTGACAGTGAATACAAGTAATTATTTGACATGTCCTGGAAGCATGGAATGAAGAGATCATAAACATAGAAAGGACCCCAAGAGTTCTAGTCTAGCAAACTACTTCCTAGAAAGAACTACATCTAAAGTCTCTTATAGAGAGGATTTATTTTTATCTTAAATATCTCAATAGAAGGTATTCTTTAACTGCCCCTGTCTATCTCCCCCACTACTACATATAGAAATATTATAATTGGTATAAATTTTTTAGTTGTCACATGTGTCCCTTTTTTCTTTTTAGAAAGAAAATACAGCATTTTTCATTTATTTGAGAATTCCACAAATTTATAAAACAATTAAATTGAACGAGATAGGTAGGTAGGTAGACAGATCTTTGTCACCAAGAGATGAATGTTAACTTCTTACAAGTGAACACAAGATAAAAATTTAGAGCCGTGGTTCTTACCTCTTTTTTGAAACAGGAACTCCTTTGAAGTTCTAAGAAGATCTCTGCCTAGAAACATGTAACATATGTATCTACCTCCAGAATTTGCCCATATACTTTCAGGAGGTTCATGGTCCCTGGAAGCCTCCTAGAATAAGCACTAATCTGGCAGGAAGAAGCCATCCCTGAAATACTAGGTGTTCAGTACATCTCCTCATATGTTGAAGAAGGCAAATTATCATCAAAGCTCAAATAAAATAAAACATGAATTTATTAATATTATTTTCAAAATCAAGATGAAAACTGAACTATATTGCCTATGTAATTATACTGTAAATCTGTGCAGCATAAAAGTGAGTGCTATATTTCACCTGAGAATAACCATTAAATGATTTAAATTTTTTCTAGCTTTTAACAATTAAAGTTGATCAGAGAATTTACATTTTCTAATAACCTTGCACAGGATATTCATGTACAAGAAAAGATTGTGATTATCCTAACTGCCATAGGAGTTAGTGATAAGATCAGCCCATGGAGCTCAGAAGGTTATTCTTTAAGGAACCCCAATACCAGAGATTTAATAATAGAGAGCTATGAGCAGGAAGGAGATGACTGTATTAAAATGAAAAACTTGATGGTGCATCTCTGGGGAACATACACGTTATATCTTGAGTTTTCTGCTGTGTCTGCCATTTCCTTTTTGAATCACATTGGTGTTAAGACCTATTTCCCAAACAGCTCCTCATTTTACAGAGCAAACCCAATGGTCCTTGACTTCATCCTACACTAACAAAATCAAATCCAAGCCAATTACCTGAGAGGGACAAAGTTTTACAGGTATACTTTAACTTATAAAATTACCATAATTGGCCAAGTGTGGTAGCTTACACCTGTAATCTCCATACTTTGGGAGGCTGAGATGGGCGAATTGCTTGAGCCCAGGACTTCAAGACCAGCCTAGGTAAGATAATGAGATTCATTTCTTCAGAAAATACAAAAATTAGCTGGGCATGGTCGCTTGCACCTGTACTTTTAGCTACTCAGAAGGCTGAGGTGGGAGGATCACCTGAGCCCAGGGAGGTCAAGGCTCCAGTGAGCCGTGATCATGCCATTGCACTCCAGCCTGGGCAACAGATTGAGACCCTGTCTCAAAAAAAAAAAAAAAGCCGTAATTCTGAAAAGTTCTAAGTAAATGAACTTTATCCTAAATAAGGTCACCTCAGGCATAAGAAAAGCATACAATTTAAAAATATCTTATGACTACTCATTTAAAAAAAAAAAAAAAAAACTATTTTCACCCGTCCCTCCTGCCATCATGTGGTTTTTCTCTTCCACAATATTGAGCAACTAATTTTCACACAATACCATATCTCCATTGACAGCATGGTGCAGGGTTGCACAGTGACGTCTCTACCATCCATAACTATACCAAGCTGCCTTTCCTACACTGCTATTTAGGCATTTTCCTCTTTGAAAGTATTTTCCTTGAGTGTGTCATCTCTATAGGGCCCCTTCATGCTTGGTATCTAGGTTACGTTTTAGGCACTCTTATAAAGTTTGTTTGTATAATACATCAAACTAAAATTGCTGCAATGACACAGGCCCAATAGGAAAAAGCCATGCCTGCCCAATATCATGATGCTTATCACTTCCCCTATTTTCCCATTTCCATAGGGTACACAGTCATATGTTTTCCTATCCCCCTCCAATCAAATGCCATTGTTATGAATAAATATTTATTAATATCTACTATGGATTCAAAGAGACATAAGACATAGTCACTCTGCTTACTGACTAATTGGGAAGTTAGGCTATGCAAAAAAATGATTAATAACAATATGAGGTGGCACAGACTAAGTGATACACAACACTCTTAATTTATCTGTTCAGCAAATCCAAATTTCCACGTATTTATGTTGCTTAAAGAGAAATACATCTGTAATCCTTGATCACCATGCCTTTTCGCTATGTCTTCTAGCATAATGAGAAGTAATGTGATAATATGGTGACATATTATTGTGACTTCAGGCCATTTCCATAGAGGCAGCGCACTCTCATGAGTACCACAATGGAATGAGATACAGAAGACCAGGATTCTAATCTGAGAAATGCCCCTGACATTTTATGTGACCTCAGACAAGTGCCTTAAAGTCTCAGTTTTGAGCTTTTTCATCTGTAAAGTAAGCTTAATTAAAATTGTCAACATCATAGAGATGTTATGAAGTCTAGCTAATTAAAGCCCATTAAATGTTTTGAAGATAAAAAGTATTTGCTTTACAGTCATAAATAAGCAAAAAAAAAAAAAAAGTCTTATTTTAAAAACCCAATTTTTGTACAATTGTCACAAAAAATGATGCTGATGCCCTCTAGAGCCGAGCTGTAGAGGTGGATTTACACTGATCCATCCATGCTCTCTCATTTGATTATTTTGGTTACCAATAGCACTTGAGACAGCTGGATAGGATGAGGTATCCGTCTGTGACCACAGAACAAAGTAAAGCTAACTGGCCCCTATGGAATTGGACCAATGACCTAGGTCTCATTAGCACTATCTGTGAACCAACTGAGCTAATTGGATACCACGTTGATAATAATGTATCAAAACATGGTTTGGTTTATTTTTTTCCAAAGCTTCCCATAGATTTAATTTCAATAACCATAAAAAATTAGTTTGAGTAATTAGATCCAAAGATAATAAGCTAGACATTATTAGAAGCCACTAACCTCCAAGGGAATAACTCTTGCTGTCCCTAGTAGGCCTGAAGTTCTCAGCAGGCTCTTGACTGTCCTGAGAAAGTAAAAGTTCAGAATGACAAGGCTAATAAACCCAAGGTCCTCCTGTTGAGATTAGGAATGGCTCTTATGCATCTCTTGCTCACTGAAAGTCTATTTGGCAAGAATTAGAAATTGTTCTAGTCTGTGAGTCTTGTGGAGGCTAATAAACTGACAATGAAGATGCATTGTGCTACAGAAAACAGTCCTAAGTACTAAATAAAAAATGCCTTAACACTCAGCTCATAACTTTACCTCTTGGGATTGATGATATTTTTCAGCAGAGAACATGAAGCAAGCCTTAATGAGGAACTGATATTAGGTGGGACCATTTCAGTAATTCTCAGTTCTTTGAACTTTGAGGCAAGGTTAATGTACATGCTACTTCATGGAACAAAACAAAAATATATGATGTTGAAATATTCCCTTTCTAGAAATATGAGAGTAATAGAACCCTGCAGTGCTAACAAAGTAGCATGTAAATCTTAAGGCGTATACTTCAGATTTCAAGTGGAATGAATGGCCTATTTGGCTTAAACTAGGTAAACTTGAATTCTGCAAAGCTAAAATACTGGAAATTAGCTCCATGATGTATTAACCCAAATAATAATGTTCCTGACGTAAAAAAAAGATGGAAATTAAACATCTAGTTATGAATACTACGTCTGCACAATGTGCTGCATGCACCGCATGTGTTAGAATTTCTTCTCAGTTCCTTTTTTAATCTTTTATTCATAGCATTGCAGGTGATGAAAAATTTATGCCTTGAGTCTGGCATTGAAATTAAATGCAAAATGAAAACAGAAGCAGTTTATACTGACAGCTTAAATATCTTTATCTAGCATACGGTTGCACTATAAAAATCACTGGGTGACTTTTTAAATCTCCCACATGTAAAAAAACCAAGAGTTGTACAATAATGAATAAAGTTATCTATCTAAGATATCAACAGAAAAGTTGTATTTTATTAGCATTCTTTGTTAATTTCATTTTGCTCTATTCTGTTTTTGTTTAATGGGCACAGACAGATGAATACAAGCTTTTAAAAATACTGCACAAATTAATTGTTGATACTAATTCCTCAGAGTGGTAGGAAACAATTGATTTTTGCAGCATTTTTAATAAGTGTGATTTCCCATGTAGGTTTATGTCTTAAGCTGAATAGAAAACATTAATCTGTACTGAAGGTAGTTATGCTGTACTAAAGGTTAATTATTCAGGTGAATCAGTCTGTTCATCACTATAGAGTGATGCTTGGGAAGAATGGCAATAATTACAATAATATCCACAGTTGCTAGGTATGTGAGTGTTCAAGAGTATTTCCTTTCTTAGAATAGTTGCAGGTAATTTTGTAACATTATTTTATTAGTCACAATTCTACTCATAAAATAAGGTTCCCTGTAAATGGTTACTATTTTCTGGAGATGCTGAGTCTTTTGTCCTAGGCATATCTGTATATGTTATGCTGCATTATGATGCTCACTGTGGCTTTTCCGTGGCTTTTGTTGATGAACTAATGCTAAATCTCAAATAGCTCATAATGTAAATTAATTGAAGAAAATAATTTCCTTTTAGTTTTGTGAATAATGCACACAGGTTTAAAATATATTCAGTCTCTCTCTCTATATACACACACACACACACACACACATATATATGTACATGTATATACATTTATGAGAATTTTAAAAATAGGTATAGAGTTATTTAGCATTTAAATAAGTAAAGCATGAAATTTAGAACAGTCTGCAGTTACATAAAGCACCAATACTAAAACAACCACTTAGATTTCCATATTTAGAAGACTTCAGCACACAGCTTAAAATATTTTACACTCAGCCTCTGATTTGTAGCTCTTTCCTGGCTGTTTTATGTAAACATACTGTGTATAATTATGCAGATAATTTTATACAATATTAATTGTGCTAAGAGTGCAGTGAAAGTGTGTTTAATTCAGTAATTCATTTACATTTTAATGATTTTCATAGCATAAGATTACCAAATCAAATTAAAATATCTCTGACCATCATACTATGTTGTGTGAAGAGTTCAAATAGTCATATTGCTTTATATTATACAGAATATATTTATCACATCTTGTTAATGATAACCAAAAGGAATCTTAAAATATCCATAATGAAAAACTCTTCAATGCAGTTTTTATTCCAACATTAAATATACTTAGAGAGTGGTACCCTAAAGCAATAACATATCAGATATCAGATTATAAAGTATATTTAATACCTGTGTTCAGCACATGAATTGTCAAGTTGGCCTGCATCTTTGAAATACAGTTGGTGCACTGTATTACATTATTATTATTTTTTTTTTGCAAACAAC